TCAAAACACTGGCCCTCCGCAGTGTGTGAGCATGTTGAAGGATAATGTTTAAACATGTTCGCTGCAACCCCTACGTTGCTCCGCGTCAGAATCAGAAGTGGCCGAAGTATATAATAGTACATACCACATATATCATATATTACATCACATATAAGTCAGAGGGGGTCCCAATTTTTGATCCCTTAAGAAGAAAAGTTGATGTAATGATCCCTGTCAACGTAGTAGTCAGAGGGGGTGGCGGATTTTGATCCCTCAACAAGATAAGTTCATGTTCTTATTATCATCAACATATAAGTCAGAGAGGGTGGCAAATTTTGATCCCTTTATGAAGATAAGTTGATGTTATGATCCCTGTCAATGTAGTAGTCAGAGGGAGTGGTGGATTTTGATCCCTCAACAAGATAAGTTCATGTTCTTATTATCATCAACATATAAGTCAGAGGGGGTGGAAATTTTTGATCCCTTTATGAAGATAAGTTGAGGATATGGATTGGATCCTTTGGATCATTCCCGCATTCCCTATCAAGCACCAGAAAGATGATGATGATGATGATGATGATGATGATGATGATGATTCTCTTGAGGTGTGGAGCAACGTCCGGGTTGGAGGGAACATGTTTAAACGCCGTTTGAACCTTCCGGGCAACACACAGCGCCTGGCCGTAATATTATTTATCTTTTTTTTAAAATATATATATATATATATTAGTTTGCTAGAAAGTTTATTTATATAAAACAAATAAATTAACCATCCAATGGCCGAACCAAAAAAAATCAATTTCCAATCGCATCTATGTTTATATTTTTCTGAAATATACAACCCTCCCAACTACAAATCCTTTATGAAATCAAAATTCTTCCGTATATTAAAAAAAACATATCAAAATCCAAAGAAATTATCACACATTTTTAGATTTACTTGATTCTAGGAAATTTCATAATAGAAAAACTACATCATGCCCTAAACCTCATTTCCCAGGTCCCAAGTCAAGCCAGAAAAAATGATAAACATGCTGATCTGGAAAAGGGTTGAACTTGTACCTATCCCATTTTCCCAGTCCCACGAGGCTTCCTTCCTAATCTACCACAACATAGCTTTACTATGTTTTTTCACCTTTTCTTTCCATGTTTTTCTGAAATCTTTCCCTGAGAAGCTGGTAAGCAAAAGGGGGATGAGAACGGAGATACATACATTCTTACCACTTGTCTTGGCTGCCTTCTGCAAACACATATCCCCAGTATCTGCGTATCATTTTGGAACAAGATGAAGACAAGTAAAATACATATTTACATCTAGATACACATTTTCCACCCAATCCATCTTGACATATTTTGACTTTGAAGTCATCAGTTCACATCAATCCATCAAACATTCACCATCATTCACCAACCGTTTTACCGAGAGGTGAGCCCATCCCCATCTTTAACCAGGTAAGTCTGAAAATCATCACCAATGGAGACGATGGTCAACAACAGATGCACCAATGGATTAACCATTGGTGGATTTTGTTACCATTGGTATTCATTGGTTAAGATGGGATTAGCCATTGTTTAAGTTGAGAATTGGTGAGTTGCTTTCTGCAACCCATTTTTCTCCAAGTTTTGTAAAACCACAAACCCCAGATCGACGAAGCGTCATCCGAACCGTCATCCTGCGGAGTCCGTGGTGCGCCCCGTTCGGTGCGAAGGCAACATATCACTGTTGGTTCTGATGCAGAACATCTATGCGGTAATCATAGATATCCATTTCTGAGTGGTAAACACCAAAAAAGATGCACAACAGGTCATAAAATTGTTACCGCAAAAAAGGAATCCGATTGGAGTGTGCTTTTCTGCATCATGGTGATTTCATGTGTTTTCATAATAAATTGATATCATGAGACACCAAAGGAGGATGTGATCAAAAAGTAATTCTATCATACTAGCATTACAACAGGAGGATTTTGTCCCACACCCCAGTATATATTATATCTATGCACCCCGTTTACGATAGCTAAGTTGTCTTTTTTGACTTGGTTAAGGGTTGGGTTTATTGGGAATACAACTATAGTTAATGTTTTTAAAACGAACTTATAACTGACGGGCCTGGTAATAGGGTACCCCAAAATCCGCGAGTGTTATGTCTTAATGTCTGTCAAAATTGCTATTTAGGGGAATCAGTAGGGCGTATACACAATTTTTAGGCACTCCCACAGCATAAAAACAGCATTTGCGAATGTTTTTGGGGCAGGTCCTCGGCATGCTGGCATTGCCAATCTTGGATAACCTGCTTTTTTTTGCGAGCTAGTAGAAAAATCCCCGTTTACAGCAAGAGATAAACCAGGAATAGTATGTATCTAACGAAGATTTGAGTCACTAGTCTTTGAGGTATGGTTTCAGAGTCGCATGTATTCTTCCCACATTTTCCTTGCATTGACTGATTTTACATCCCTTTCACTGTCATTTATCAATTGTTTGAATCCTAGGAAACATAGGCTTCCCCGTCTCGAGACATGTACCTGGCTCAGGTTTTAGAGGGTCTTGTAAATTCTTAATCGCTTGCCTGATTTCCCCATGCCTCATAAAATTTATGGGTTGTTATATTTTCGCTAGGTTCCAAGTATCACGTCCTTGCCGTTTACAGACTATCCCAATCAGTCCCTATCGATCTGTGTTGATTTGAAGTTGCATCTTGTTGATAAGAAATATTTCTAAGTCCCATGTGTCATTTGGCTCTCTCCTTCCGGCTGCAAAAGGCCATTGCTTGATTATTTGATTGATGGTTTGGGTTGGTGGGGTGTAGTCCCAACAACACCATGGGTTTCCATGGGTATCCCCCAAGATTCCAAAGCAATCTCTATCGGCTTTAATTTTAATGAGCAAATGGGACGATTCACCTCCAACAAAAAACAAACGAAGCAAACAACAAGAAACCATCTCATATAACAACAAAAAAACATTATAATTCAAGAATTATTCAAATTCCCTATCAAAAGTCACATTTTTGGTGGGTCCCTGTCCCCTGAAAAACGCGTCGCCTCTACTTAGACTCGTGCTTTGGCTCTGATCGGCCCATAGTGAGGCACCTGCATTGGAATCATCGGAATCAGCTCCATATATAAGTGGAAGTTTGTCCATGTCCATGTTTGGTTACTGGAGGCTATTTTGGAGAATAGTGAGACAGTTTTTTTTGTCCAATAGGATAGTAGGATAATTCAAAATTCAGTCGCAAAGTGGCATGGCCAATCTTTGATATCATATACCCTCTGGTAATTTAACATAGCTATTGAAAATGGCCATAGAAATAGTGAGTTTTCCCATTGATAGCATGGTGATTTTCCAGTTCGTTATGTTAATTTACCAGAGGGTATCACCATCAAAATAACCAAATATCAATTGGTATTGGTTGGTACCCACAAAAAAGGCTTCCCGACAAAAATTGGCTGTTATAATTCCAGCCATTCAACTGTTTGCATCCTCTTATATATATATAGTTATATATATGATTATATATATAATCATACATAAGGGCTAACAGCAAATAGAACCATACAAAGCAGCCACCCATTTATGTTTGTTGCTGCGTACATAATGTACATATGACCACCACAAATCCAACAGTTGTTGCAGTTATTAATCCGACCGACTCATCTTGGTGATACCACATTGAATAGGAAATTGCTAGGGTCCATATGTTCATGTTCCACATGATAAAATTGATCTCTCACCCAATTACATGTAAACCATACAGGATGGTGCCCCCCAGTGATGTTTGTTGGTTTATAAATCCCATGAATACTATAGTTCTATCTGCCATAAACCATAGGTTTTATGGGAGTTATGTGAACCCCAACTTAGCGATTTGCCTCACTGGGGCACCACCTAACGTACCCAACTCGCCTCCTCAGCTCCATCTGGACCTGGAGGCAATGGCTTGGAAGAGTTTCCCCTTAACCATCTGGTGGTTGACCTACCCCTCTGAAACATTTTAGTCAATGGAAAGGATTATCCGATTATCCCATATATTATGGAAAATAAAAAATGATTGAAACCACCAACCAGCCATAGTTGTTGAAAAACTCTCTTTTAACGTCGTTGGATCTTTTCGATGATCCCCAAAAAAGGGCGGAGAACCTCCATGATTCGGGAGTCGCAAGTACTGTACACCTCTGGTAATTCAATATAGCCAGCCGATTTCTAGATGACTTACATATGAGACATGGTGATTTTCCATAGCATATGTTAAATTACCAGAGGGTATCCAAGGTGCACAACTGCATTTCTTGACCATTTTGGTGGGAGATGCGTTCAGGTAGATATTTCTTGTATGGACAAACATCACTAACAAATCACAGATCATATCAGTACTCCCCACCAAACCTTTCGGACCCGCTTGATCATGTATTTGGCAATACAAGTATTCAAAATCAAGGTTTTTGGCCACCTTCCGGTAAACTAACATAGGGACAACAAAAACAATTGTTTCCCAAGGAAAATGATCTACAAACGGTGGATTTTCCATATCTACACATTAGCTTAGTGGAGGGTATAGCCATCTTTGTCTTGTCAAACCTTGTTGGTTTACATTCATCCTTTCCAGAATTACCCGTAACAATTAGCCGCAAGCAAAACAAGTCCAGCTGGCCCCTAGCAACGAACGAGCTGTGCCGCTATCCGAACTTGCAGCGGCAAGAGTCAGCACAATCAACAGAACAATTTTCCACATATGGGGATGGGTCAAACCCTGGTACCTAGTGAACCCCAAAATAGCTGGTAAATGGATGTTCATCCCACTAAAATGTATCTATAGGTATTGACCCATACCCATATGGCTTTTGGTAAACGTCTCTCAAATTGAGGTTGAACGCTAACGTCTGAGTGTTGACTAAGCAGTGCATCGAAGCTGCGTCATCCAGACTTGGGGGCCAGCTCTTCTCTGGCGAAGAGTTAAGGGAGAATCAGTGGGAATCAATCAAGTGCAGCTGCTGCAGCTGAAGATCATTTTGCAAAGCCTTGTCCAAGTTCATTTCAAATGCACACAGTTGTACACGGATTCTGTTTTTAGTCTTGATCCCAAATTCTCTACCTGCGACTCGAAGCTGCAAGACATGAATCGACTCGAATCGCGACTCCCCGATTTTTGGAGGGCGTCAAAAAGGCTGAGCCCTGGCTGATTTCATCGGAGACGGCTCGCTATAGCCATCCAGTTCTTCTTTCAAAATTTATTGATGAACCAAGCCCCACAACAGACATCTCTAAGCTGAGCATCCCTTACTATGGGAGAAGCGGCAATGGTCTCCATAGGTGCATTTGCTCTCCAGGAAATGCCGGCAAATCGGCCTGGCTACTGGATTCTGTGGTAACATGAAAACGAATCTCCTTGAAACACACCATCGGTTTTTGACCAACAAACTTGGGGATATAAGCGCAGTGACAAATGATCAGCAACAAACTTCTTATGATTGAATGGGTTTTTTACCGACTGGGGTGCCATATGAGCCAGGTTCGGTTACCCTTTACGATATGTGGATAAGGCAAAATTTGAGGGATTTGGGACATACAACCTGGTAGGCGTCCGAATGCTCCTTTCTGAATATCAACATGGTGGCTGGGTGGAGATACGCGCTTGATATTCAAGGAAAAGTGGCAGGTTGGGATATTCTTGAACTCGGATGAACTCGGCACATGCTGTACATGCTGTTCCCCCGGAACAGACTCTATTCATCTCTATTCCCACACCGGCCAGCCGGTTATCAGGGAGCATCATATCATCCAGGCGCAGTGAGTGTTTCAGTCCCTGAGAAGCTGGACAAGACCAACACCAACACACCAAACACACACAAAGCAAAACGCAATGTGCTTAATTCATAAACAGGGATATGTTCATTAACAATTCCAGTTTCGGAATCAATTTTCTACAGTCATGTCGCTCTTGCTGAAAACAGGCTACCTAGAATTCCGTGGTTGCAAACCTCATGTTCCCCAATCCACTAACCATTGATTAAGGGCAAAACTACCGAATCTGGTTGGTTTACCAACACTTTTGTATACTTTTGTTGGTTAAATCCCAACCATATCTGGACACACCAAAATTTGGAACCTCTTTCCATTCAATGGTTGACAAATTTGTTGTTGTTTCCGCATTATTGAAGGCTGCATTATTGAAGGCCCTCACACTTAGTAAGTCGTTAGGAATCATAGTGTTTGACCCGTTCATACATTGGGATTCTCCCGTGAATGTTGGACTTATGATATTATGACCACCACGATTATTGACCACTTACAGTATATCCCTCTGCTTTTGTTTCTTAATTCCAATATAATGCTTGTGAAATAACCACGAGCAAAACAGTTTCAGTTGATGAAGCGCCTATCATCCATCGGCTGCGGCCGCATGGGCGCAGGCGCAGCACGGTGTTGTGCGGCAAAGGCCGCAGGCAACGCAGGCGCCGCACAACTCTCACCTAAAGGGGATTCATGAATAATTTATGAATCATATATATAACACATAGATATAGTACATAGATATAATTCATGAGTTTAAAAATCCAACCTTTCATTTTGAAAATGATAGAAGTTGATAGATATCATCGAGATCTATCTCACTGTTATTTCCAGATGTGTATATATATATATATATATGTAATTATATATATATACACGCATACGATGCAAAATGATGTACAGTAAATCAAACATGTGATCTCATTATTCCACCGACCTTCAAAGTTGTGCTGGATATGAATGATAGAAGTTGATAGATACAATGGTTAAACTATATATACGTATACGTATTATATCATTATTATTTACATATATATATATACGTATATATATATATATACATAACATGATATAAATCACATATTATACTAGTATTCAACCAACCTTCCCTTTAGGATTTTGAATATGAATGATAGATACAATGGTGATTCATATCACCGTTTTATGAATATATATATATATATATCATACAGCATTTAAAATTTCATTAAAAACGCACTCTAATGTGAATGATATCATATATAATCTATACAAACAACGATTTTTGATATGTTTATACGTAGGGATATAAAAGGGAATTTCTTGATGATATCAATTTTTACATTACCAATTAAACATGTGGTTTGCTTTGTTACGATAATGACTTCGTGTTTAAGCCCATATTCTCCAGGTAAATCTTCTACTCAGGTATCGTCATCGCCAGGTCGGATTGCACCAAACGGCAATCCATGTGGGGGTTTAAAGATCAAATCTAAAAGTATCACAATGATATAACCTAAATATGTTCAAGGTGTCAATAATTCAAGATAATTTTTCAGTTATGATTAAGTTTACCAAATACTCCTCTTCACATCATGATGTGCTATATCATGAACAAACACTAATCGTTAACGATTAATGAATATTTTCATGTATTCTTCACGAATCAAGGCAACGGGACCACGCTTCAAGCCTAAACGAAATAAAGACCATGCAATACTCAGAAGGAACATCAAGGAACCGGGTTATCCTAAAAACATATCTTAACATGATATGGAGCCATCTTAGATTCTGATTTCATAGCATGCCATTGCATGCCAAATCATGCATGTTTTTGAAAAAGCCACAGAATAGGAAAAGAACACGGGCCTGCAATAATTGGCTAGCTTAGTGGTTCGATCGCACAACATCCAACACATAGTTGCCAACAATTGCCATGTTGAATCGCTGGATAGAATGTGAATTTCCATACCCGGATCCCAATGGCTAGATTCTAGACATCCAACAACATCCTACAACATCCTACAGGATGGTGCCCCCCAGTTATAAGTTGGTTTATAAACCCCATTAACTATAGTTATATCTGCCATAAACCATAGTTATGGGAGTTATGTTCACCAACTTAGCTAACTATGGGGCACCACCTTGTAGAATTGCCAACAAAAAAGCTGTTTTTTTGTTTCGCAACGAAGCTTTCACCATGACCGCTAGGGGGTGGCACTTGGGTGAATCAGCAAGCGTATCACAAAAAAGCGAGCTGCGCGAAAAATGACTCTATGACACACATGGGGAAGTATGTGGACATGCTTTGCTTATCATACCAGTATATATATATATGTATATATATGTATATATATATATGTATATATATATATATATCGAATAATGTGAATCATCTTTATATACATAATATTTATATACATCATATTTAAATATGTTATGTGAATATGTGAATATCTTATAATATGTTGTACTCCAATATTCATCGCTCGAAACTTCATTCTTCCACCGAAAAACAAACGGCCTCCATGTCGGAAGCGACACATGTCACCGTAGGTGCAACGGCCCTCCAGGAAGTGGCGACATTGCGGCCTGGTCGCAATGACAATCTGCATGATCCTAGACAGCATCGAACCATGCACATCATCGAAACATTGGGGAATTATGCATATCATAGCTGATTTTTTAACTTCAACATGCTGGGCAATCTGGGAACATGTCTGAACATATGTTTATATCCTTTTATGGGGCTTTGTCCAGAAATGTGTAGCCACTTACAATTTATGTGGCCGTTCGAAACCACAGGATTTTGGAGCACAACCTGTCTCGGCCCACCTGTCATCCAGATTTGAAGGTGCGCCTGCACCACAACGGCCAAAAACTCATACCCTTTGCTAGTCAAACGTGGCAATGGGAATCCCCGCAGATGGAGATTTTAATTGGAAAAAACATATTTATTGGACAAGCATCTATAAATTGGAACATCATCTGCTTCACCATGTTTCAACACATCCCCTAAACATTCATTGATGATCAACCCATTACCCTCTGGTGACTTAAGAGTTGCTCTGGAAGCTACTGTATTTATAGATTATTTTGCCAATTCAAAATGACAATTTTCCATGGTTTTGGAAGCCATCAGCCAGCCACACCTTTAAACTTCGGGACAGATGCATGTTACTTTCAACCATTTTTCATGTATTCTGAAAAATCCTTTCCCAACAAAATCACAGAAACCCCGCTTTTTTGGTGCCCCAAAATGAATGAATCCTTTACTGCTCATCAGGTTTAGCGCTGCGGGGCGCTGGGCATTCCGGTCGTGCCGCCCCTGCCTTGTGGGACAGTCTGATGCCGGCAAGGAAAGGACCTGCACATGGCGATGCACCTAACATGTCTACTGGTTGGTGGTATACCTACCCCTCTGAAAAATATGAAAGTTAGTTGGGATAATTATTCCCAGTATATGGAAAAACAAGTTTCCAAACCACCAACCACTCGAATATGTCTAATCTTCATGCTGGGCCAATGACCCGCCAATGACCTTGCCGGAAGACACGTATCAAAACCCTCGCCACCTGGATACTTGTGCAAGTCATGAACCTAGCTGGTTATGGGTCACAACGATCACAACATGGTCAGTACAAAATGGTGAACATACCCTCTGGTAATTTAACATAGCTATAGAAAATCACCATTTTTAATAGGTAAACCATCTATAAGTGGGCCATTTTCCATAGCCATGTTAGTTTGCCAGAGGGTAACTCCCCTAACAGCAACGGGTTTATGCTAGCTATGCTGTGTCGAAGTAGTTCATGAAGCCGGCCTGTCATCCACAGTCATGGGGCCTGCAAGTAATGAAGATTCTTGACCTTCGTGGCGCACGCAGAAACGAACACCAACAAGAGATACAAGGAAAAGTCTGAGAAAAGTAGAAAAAAATAGAAAAAATATGAACAAGGTAATCCAAACAAATCCAATATACTTGGACTATGACCAACAGGTGATTGTTCTAAGTTACGCTTGCTGCATCAAAACACGACAACAAACCAGTAGCGCCATGGCACCATGGCTGAAGCGGCACTGATCGCCGTAGTTGCACTTCCCCTCCAGGAAATGCCGGCAAATGGACCTGCTTTCGTTGGGCTGAAATCAAATCTTCATTGGATTCAGGCGTCTACAGTGCTGTGCATTAGCCACACAAGTCCCATGTCCTATGTGCTGACAACAGGTATGTGATGGTGGGCGAACTTTGCTCTTTCTTGAACGTGGTTACGATATTGAACATGCGCGAGTAGATATCACAGTAATCACCATATCGGCAGTGAATGTATGTTTCTGTAGAGTGTTTATACATCATCTGGAACATGTTTGGCACCGATGTCCACAACTGGTTGCACTGTGCTTTTGCTTGCCTGTCATCTCCTCTCATCGTGGAGTCTGCAGGGGAACACAAACAAAGCATCAGCAGTGTAGGGTGCAGCACTCGCAGTTGTTGGAAACTGAACACGTCAACTAGAAAGCGACGGAAAACAGTGATTGCTTTACGAATTGAGGGAGCTGGTTGCATAGTTCCTCTGTCTTGCATCGGAACAAACAACAAGTCACCACTGCACTTTCCATCACTTTCCAGTCCTTCGGTAGAAACATGCACACTGGTGATAAAACATTTTGGAACGGTACAACACTCCTGCTTTCAACATTGAAACAATGTGCTCCCCCTGCCTTGTGAGACAGCCTGGACGGGGACGGGGGCCAGCAATTCATGCACTTCATGGCTGAAGCGGCACAGATCGCCGTAGTTGCATTTGCCCTCCAGGAAATGCCGGCAAATGGACCTGCACATCGAACAAAAAGGCTCTCAAAGCTTCATTAGGTGAACAGTCACTTGACGTCCTCATGGTTTGGCACAGAAACGTTGTAACTGAAAGATAGTCATGGCATGTCATGGTAGTCATGGTCGTGAAGATATAGAGATCGAAACAACAAGAGTTGCAACATGATACAATTGTATATTGTACATTATTGTACACAGTATAATTATTATAATAAATGTTTTGTTTATATGTTTGATCGCCTCTTATTTGCCTGTCTATCTATGCTTGCTAAAAAAAACATGGTGGACGGGATATGGTCATCCCATCATTCTGATTGTCGGACATCCCTGGTACATAAAACCTTATTGATCAGGATGTGACCATCCCCAATGTGGGCATATCCAACTGTTGAGCACGGCAAATCTAGTGCCCATACATCTGAAACATGTTTGGCAACGATGTCCACAACTGGTTGCACTGTGCTTTTGCTTGCCTGCCATCTCCTCTCATCGTGGAGTCTGCAGGGGAACACACACAAAGCATCAGGAGTGGAGGGTGCAGCACTCTGATTTGAGGGAGCTGGTTGCATAGTTCCTCTGTTGTCAGAACACACCAAAACGAATATAACAAATCGACACTTTGCAGTGCAAACAGACACGCTTCTGATAAGACATGATAGAACCATACGCAACTCCTTGATTCAAGTGGACCGCGAACGCGCTCAATTCAGAAGCTGGATGCAGCTATGATCTCCACTATCCATGCTTCCAACATTGAAACACTGTGCTCCCCCTGCCTTGTGAGACAGCCTGGACGGGGACGGGGGCCAGCAATTCATGCACTTCATGGCTGAAGCGGCACAGATCGCCGCAGTTGCATTTGCCCGCCAGGAAATGCCGGCAAATGGACCTGCACATCGAACAAAAAGGCTCTCAAAGCTTCTTTAGGTGAACAGTCACATGACGTCCTCATGGTTTGGCACAGAAACGTCGTAACTGAAAGATAGTCATGGCATGTCATGGTAGTCATGGTCGTGAAGATATAGAGATCGAAACAACAAGAGTTGCAACATGATACAATTGTATATTGTACATTAATCTACACAGTATAATTATTATAATAAATGTTTTGTTTATATGTTTGATCGCCTCTTATTTGTCTATCTATGCTTGCTATAAAAAAAACATGGTGGACGGGATATGGTCATCCCATCATTCTGATTGTCGGACATCCCTGGTACATAAAACCTTATTGATCAGGATGTGACCATCCCCAATGTGGGCATATCCAACTGTTGAGCACGGCAAATCTAGTGCCCATACATCTGAAACATGTTTGGCAACGATGTCCACAACTGGTTGCACTGTGCTTTTGCTTGCCTGTCATCTCCTCTCATCGTGGAGTCTGCAGGGGAACACAAACAAAGCATCAGGAGTGGAGGGTGCAGCACTCTGATTTGAGGGAGCTGGTTGCATAGTTCCTCTGTTGTCAGAACACACCAAAACGAATATAACAAATCGACACTTTGCAGTGCAAACAGACACGCTTCTGATAAGACATGATAGAACCATACGCAACTCCTTGATTCAAGTGGACCGCGAACGCGCTCAATTCAGAAGCTGGATGCAGCTATGATCTCCACTATCCATGCTTCCAACATTGAAACACTGTGCTCCCCCTGCCTTGTGAGACAGCCTGGACGGGGACGGGGGCCAGCAATTCATGCACTTCATGGCCGAAGCGACACAGATCGCCGTAGTTGCATTTGCCCTCCAGGAAATGCCGGCAAATGGACCTGCACATGGCGACAAAAACCTGTGGCACACCAGAAAGCCCAGAAAACTATCACCGGCAAGTCTTGTCGCAACTTTTTTTAAACATGTTTTTTATATATATTTTTAATGTGTATATGCAGAATGTCACAGGATGCTCAAGGTGGTGTGTGTGCGTGTCTCTCTCTCTCTATCTCTCTCTTTCTTCACAAACTGAGACAGCCTTTTGCGATTCAGGAAAGGCGCACAAAACTAGCAACCCCTGTAAAGATAGAAATGATAGACAAGTCATTCAACATTAGTTAATACTATTTTGGTAGGATCTCTGGGTTACCATTTCCATTTGAGAAACCTTAGGGCCTCAAGCCTAAGATCGCCAAAAGGCATGGGTCATTTGGCTCATCAAGTCACTTGTTTCAACAACGATGGAAAATGACAATCTACATTCTAACCCCCCAGAATACACGGCTAATCGTAGACAGCCTGGCAATTTCGAGATCAATTTCAGCTGGACACTATCTTTTTGCAAACATATCACATAGACGGTATATCAGGGTACATTGACACTTTCCGTCTTTAGCAGTGTAGCAAAAATATGTAAAACACTTGCCTCCCAAAAATGCTTCCAAAGCTAGAGGGCTAGCCAAGAAAGGCCTATGAGTTTCCCCCACACCAAACCGATTGAAATCATTCGAAATCTACCACCAGTTGACGATTTCCACACGCCTGTCATCTTCATGCTTGGAACCTGCAGAGGCAGAGGGTTCCATGATTCGAACTTCAGGCCCGAACAGTCCCTAACACTTTGCCCCCATATGTGGGTTGTGAAATGTTGTGAATATATCATTACAAATTATTATACCATATTACAACTGAGGTTTACACATCCGAAACATTCCGAAACTCAGTTTGGATAATCCCATGTCATTTTTCCCAAGTTTTTCCCTGGCCATGTTGACCCCCCCATTTTCCAGTTGCCTTGCCTGGTGGAGCGGTCAAAGCAGTCACTTCATGGCTGAAGCGACAGAGGTCGCCAAAGGTACACTTCTTTTCCAGGAAGTGGCGGCAAATCGACCTATCGGGCGCCTTGAAGGTTCTGGTTCTGGATGATGGTAAGCACATTTGAGCAAGTGGATTTTATCCAACATTCTACTCATACATTATGATTGGGTTGTGCCAATGCTACCTTTAAAACATTAACTTGAACTTCAGGCATGATACCAGCAAGGTGTCGAAGTGCAACACATACATCATGCCCGGCCACAGGAAAATTCCAAGCAACTTCGATCTGCAAATCCCCAGTGATTCCTCAAATCCTCAGGTTTCTGGCCTGTCCATTGATGTTGGCTCAAACATGGCCCAAACATGGGTGTGTAATCTTTAATACCCTGCAAACAAGTTTTTTTTTCAGACTGGGTATGAACTATTGCACATTTATATACATTTATAGCGTAGAGCAACAAACATAACCGGCCGTTCACCATCCGGTTTACCCAGAAATGCTTCTTGAGCATCATTTTCTCCGATTACAACATGCCATTGACGGGGTACCCTCTGGTAATTTTGAAACTTGGCTGGAGATTACATCATTTATAGATGATTTCCGTTGATTTTCCCAGCGAACGAAACCTCCATTTGTATCCATTTGTAGGGGATTTCCCAGCCACGGCCGCACCTGTCATCTGCTGTGCCTGTCGGCAACGGCGCCGCATGCGGTGCATGCTTGCCTCGAAAATATGGCCACGGCTGGTGGTTGAGCCCCTCAGCCACCGATATCAAGCTTGCCCTCTGGTAATTTAACATAGCTATGCAGACTTGACCCATTTATAGATGATTTAACTGTATAGATATCTTAAATATTCTTCAATTACCGGAGGTATGATGCACACTTCGTGGTTCATCCCTCTTAGTAAGTAGGGTTCCGGCACAATGACGACGTACGATTTTTGTTATGACATGATCCATTTGCAACTGACATAAAACGGGGAAATCACATGAAATTAAGTAGCTACCGACTAGTAATTTTTGCATAGCAATGGAATGAACATGGCCCATTCATAGATGAGCCTATAAAAAATGGGATTTTCCATAGCAACATGTTAAATTACCAGAAGGTAACCAAGCGCTGATTGGTGGTTGGCTCGGCATTCGGCATCGCCGGGATCTAGATCCAACGACGGAGGCTGGAATTTCTGACGGTGTTTCTTCCAAAAATCCATAGATTCCACAGCCTTTTCTGCGCAAGAATTTCCATCATTTGAAGATTACCAGCTGATTTTAAGTGACTTTGGCCACTCAAAGCGGATTTTCGCCTGACGGGGGGAACAAGTTGGGTTTCTCTAAGACTGCAGCATAATTACCACCAAAGCCAATGGTTTCCAATCTCAAGCAAACCTTGCTTGGATCCATTCGGATTTTTCGATGTTTTTCGTCGTTGTCAATTCCTTGATATTCCTTGCGCCATTTGGTGATTTAACTGCACTCCGACCTGGCACAGACTGCGAAATTCTGATGTTTAAGCACCAGCTGATTGGTGTGGCCTGTCCCTAAAATCATCCCAAGGATGCCCAAAAAAACTTGGCATTCTGCCTGCTATCATCTACTTTCATGATTTCGAGGTGGACCACTCAAACCATGTTAAACCGCATTTTCTCGCTGGAATCCTCAGAAAATGACCACCAGAATCAAGCGCAACTCCAGGTGGAAACACCCCGGTGTTTCCCCGATGCCGTAGGATCTCCTTGGTGGCTGAAACCACAGCCGTCGCCGTAGGTGCACTTGCCCTGCAGAAAATGTCGACAGACCGGCCTGCAAGCTGTGAGATGGGATGGGATGGGATCATAGTTTTTTCGGCCATGCATTCCATCAGCCTGTTTTGGGGTAAAACCCATCAGGCAAAAAAAAAGGGCGTGTCAAATGATATCGTTTTATGGCTTTTTACATGTGGCTACAAAATAGGTTATATGTAGATTTCAGTTTCAAAGTGATTTATACCCCGTATAAGATTTATACCCCGTATAAAACCTATCTACGTACATGTGTATATTATATATATATAATGATAGCTGGGTATATTGCACACACATATATTATATATATATGTAATAATACACACACACACATAACTCGGTATAATTCGCTTACTACCAACGTACGAAGAGGGATGCACTCCCAAGTAATATTCAATGATCTCTCAAAGCATGGTATGATTGTTGTTGCTTAACTTCCATGGGGGCATTGTGTGGTTTGGATATCAAACTACATGTACCATGAAAGTCAAACACATACCAGTCTTTACAAAAGCAGGAAATAAGATAAAATGCTAGTGTTGGGATGCAGTTCTAAAGACCCCAGCTATATATTATATCAACTATTGGGTTATATCCAAATGACTCACATAACGATTGAATCCGTGAGGCCTCGTTTAGTAGCTATGGACCTCTCTGCGTTGGATGAAGTATCAGCAGATAGGCTACCCCCAAATCCCATGGCTTTTCATACTACTACCCCGTGTTGTCACATCGCTATTTTTCGAGGTATACCCAATTTCTGGATAAATCATGCTCAACCCATATCCAAAATTTGGGGACTCCCAACATACACAACTTCATTAGGATCATCAACCATTACCAGGCCTTGATCTACTAACTGTACAGACTCCGAATGCGAGGATCATCCCAGAACTCAGAACGGAGGTTTCCGAAGTCATGGGGGCACCCCAAATTCATCCAGTTGTCATGGATGATCATGACTTAGTATTGAAACCATGGTGACGACTGGGGATCCCCCCATGCCTTTTGGGACCCCACGCCTGTCATCGGTGAAATGCTTGAAGTTGCACGTATCACCTAAGCTGAGGCACAAGAAACGGTGCTACCAGGCTGTTGTTTCAGATGTGCCATGGCTGCCAAGGTCAACTCAAATATTTTTATGGTCATCCCACCATCAGGATTCGATTTACTATAATATGATTTGATGAGTTATTGATCCCTGTTATGAACATGGATTGATGACCATCCTCTCAATATGGGTGTATAATCCAAGTCTCAACTGTGGCACAAATGATGATGGGTATCTATTGGGAGCATAGCCCATTTTCAGACACACATACATATATATATATCCTGGTGTGGTTTGGTGTGTTGATTCTAACTACCAATCATTCAGCTAACTCAGGAAACAGCACGAAGCGTGGTTGCACATGGCCCACTTCTCAACACGATGAGATAATGAGTCCAGGGTCCTGCGAATTCTCTGCGAACTCCAAGCAACAGTCACCAGTCATCCCGAGGATTTGGTGAGGGCCTACTGTAATCACTGTGATATCACGGTTGACTGGCAATTAGCCCCTTGTTTCACAGGGAGAAATCCCGCCACGTTGGATTCCCATAGCTCCTGAATGCTGCCAACATCTCCCAACCTCAGGCATCATCTCACCTATCTCTAAGGTTCTGGCCGTAGCTACACTTTCCCTCCAAGAAGTGGCGACATACATCAGCTGCGGCCAGCATAGTGGCGCCTGAGCATGATGTCGTGATCCCAAAAACCTTGGGTTTCAATACTAAAATTATCTAAAATGATTTTAAGATGGTCTAATTTGGGATGATTTGGGTACCCCATTTCAGGAAACCTCCATTTTATGCCCAAACAGGATTGAATCGTCTAATATTGATAATATCATGTCAACCAGGCGAATAAAGAAAGGGAATGAAGCAAAAAGAGAGATACGGTACAGCAGAGATACTATGTTAATTGCTGCGTTCATACGTACGGACACCCCAGGGGATATGGGTGAAAACAAGTATATTATCATATATTATCAATTATCACCAGCACCAGATATTCAAGCAGGGTTCCTAGACACAACAAACAAACGCATGGTTAACAAAAAAAGCAAATGGTGGCGACCTCAAGTTGAAGTCACTTTGAAAATTACGAGTTGAACCTGCCAACCATCCGATGGTTCCAAATTTTGCCTCTACCTTGGGAGGTCATCATTCAAGACCTGCTTGTGTCAGAGCGAGCAATCTCTGGCGCCTGTCATCTGGAGATACCACTGCTTCGCTTGCTGTCAGGAACATGTGGCAGTTTCTCCGAATGCTAATAATCAAGGGATCTTTCGAGGGCTGGATGGTTTTGGTTGGTTTTGGCAGGCTTCTAATGGCAAAATACTATTTATTGAGATGTAGAGGCTTTGATATCTCTGGCTAGAATTGAACACTTTTACATGTTGAATGATTCTGCGACAGGGGGCAAACCTTCAGCAGCTGAATCTATTCCGTGGTAAACTCAATGATAAACCAACCGGTGACTTGAGCAACTCGAGCCAGGACGTCACATGCGTAATGGTGGTGATTCGCGATGGTGAGACTTCTCATTGGCTTAGCCAACACATAGAGAGTATTTTTTTCAATTATTTCTATTTCCTAATCAGGTGGTCCATGGTGCTTGAGTTCAGGGATCCATAGGGGTCCCAGTTTATAGAAAGCGTAACACATAGCTTCATGATCATCATTGAACAGAACTATGATCGCTAGCTGCCTCCGATAATCTAGCCTGGCTGTGAAGATTCCGATGTATAGGTGACTTTCAATCAAACATGGGCATTTCCCAATGGGACAATCACCCTACCAACTTTTTCCGTTTCTCAATAAATTGGATTGTCAGAGAACGATCGAACATATCTATATAAACATATCTAAACATTGGAAACCATGGAGAAAATAATGGAAAATTCTATCGATCGATCGAACCCAAGGGCATCTCTGAGTACATCAACATCCTTCGCCATGTGCGAAGGGAAGGGCATCCCAGCATGGTGACTCGATGATTCGTGAAGTGGGAAAAGTCTCCACTGTATTGATCATTGAAACCCTTGAACATATTATAATATACCACACTGTTATATCATATATATTAAAACACTTCCCTCCTCAGATATCAAACATCATCAAACCCTTCTTCCAAAATTTGAGACAGCGATCAAACACAAACAAGTTTGGTCACTTTTAGTGTAACACTCGAATTTTGCGGGGCTATTAATCTCTTGGAACCAGAAACACATCTGCCTTTGACCTAAAGCAACTCGCGTTTTCTGCGCGTCTTGTGCGAACCATCAGCCATCAGCCCAGCCATCGTTCCGATCGTTCCGGGGATCAACACCTGGGTACCTGCGTCGAGGAAACGGCCAACAAATAAGATGCATAACAAATCTGTGGACACTGCAATACACACACTGGTCTGGCTTTTCCACAATCTTCCGAAATCAAATTCTACCAAGACACATCAAGACAACAAAATTTGGGACCGCTACGGATCGCCCTGGCGATGGCCTGTAAGCATTGACAATTCAAGGAGACACGCAACGATCGGCAGCGATCTACCTTCGCCTGCACGAGGAGGTCAAACAGTTCACCAGTTTCACAGTTCATCATGGAAGGAACATCCTATTATCTTATGTTCCATCCATGATCTGATATCATAAATGTTGGAAAATATTGAATAATAAGGCATATCTTATGTACTTGAATAAACACAAACACTATATTAAAAAACACCAAACAAAAAACTATTAGAAGATATCTTGAAAAAATCTTTAAGTATACATGGTGAAACAGTTGGTGCATGTTGGTACCCAAAAAACTCGGAACTTGCGCGATGTCTTGTGGAGGATCCTAAGCTTCAACCCCCCAGCCGCGGTTACGCCTCAGGGGAGCTTGCAAACAGCTGCGGCTGAACTGCAAATTCTCCAGCAGCCGCTCCTGACGCGGCGACTTTTCAAACAGCTGGGAAACTGTGCCACGGATTTGATAAAATTGCTGTCACATCATGGAAAGTGCCACATGCAC